ACGAATCCGTTTCCCAATTTTCCGTTCGAATTCGCGCGTTCGTTCGGGAAACGTTCGAAGAGTATATATAAATATATATAGAGCGAGTAAAGCGAAACGGATAAAGATCGAACCGCCTATTTTCTCTTCGATCCATCCATCCGCGTTTCGTACGTACGCGATCTCGCTCCTTCTCGGATAAATCCCAAAGGAAGAATGACAGCCCTTTCGAGGAAGAAAAATTGATCTATCGCTCGTAGACGAGAGGAACGAGAGGGCATAGATATCGTTCGACGATCCGACGAAACGCATTGCACCAACGATCTCCGAGACGGATTCGCGGAGAGCGATACGGTGCGTGGACACGATCAACTCGGCTCGCCAACATCTCTCATGTTTCACGAAGGTCGAAACGGTCGATTCGCGTCAACAACAAACGTGGAACGAGAAATAACCGCGAGAGAGGAGGAGGGAGGTGGGGGGAAGGAGGGAGGGGGGACGAAAAACGGACGAAACGTTGACGGAGAACGGAATAGCGAACGGTTGGGCGAACAATCGAGAGAGAAAGAGAAAGAGAGAGAGAGAGGAAGAGAGAAGGAACGGAGAGATGAGATAGCGACGAGGGAACGAAATTCAGAGGAGGATCGAGGATAAAAGATTAGACTTTCTTTTTTGGGAAGATAGAAAAGTATACGATGAAAATTCTCGGACGGAATGCAAAGGTACGCGCGCGCGTAACGCCTGCTACGAAGGAAGCGGTACCACTGAACGACGAGGGGTTGCCGCTTCGTAGGCGCTTTCCACTCGCTAGGGGCTAGCCAGGGTTCGTAGGGTGGTGGTGGAACCAAGTGTCGAGAAATCACACCGCGCGGAGCCACTTGTCGACCTCTGACGTTCCCCAAATTTTCCTCCCCTCCCGCCTTTCAAAGAATATTCTCTCTTTAAAAATTCCTATTCCGTAAAATTGAATCGTCCAAAGCCCGAGCAAAGATCGAACGAACGGATTTGGAGCATCGATCGTGTATTCGATGTATATCGTTGCTCTATCCTCTCTATCAGAATCGTGCGCGAAATTAATTTTTTTTTTAAATAGAAAACAAAATTTCGAACCGAATCTTTCTTTTTTTTTTTTTCCTCTTTTTTGGAAAAATCTTTTAAAAACCGTGCGTCGATCATCGCGTTTCCGATATTAAACATCTATTCTCCCTTACGTTTTGGAAGATGTGATCGACGAAGAAGGAAATCGTTCGATAACGATCGAAAAAGTTGGCATCGATTATTTAGAAAATAAATAATTATAATCTCGCGTTCCGTTAACACGTTATAAGAGATAGGTAAAGGCGAATCGTACTCATGAGATTTTGTCTAAACGATTACCGAGCATAAAGTCCCTTTGGCGCAGAGGATAGCGCGTTGGACTTCTAATCCAAAGGTCGCGGGTTCGATCCCCGCAAGGGATGATGTGTTTTGCATTCAGCGATGTCTGTCTTTCTCCACCGTGCGGAACCGTTATTATTTTTGAAAAAAGTAATTACGCGCAATATTGTAAAGGAAACGAGAAAAATATCTCTACTTTTTCTTTCTTTTATCGTTGTCGAGAAATATCATCGGTTTGAAAATATTAATCGATAATATCCATTCCATACATTTCGACGTTCAAGTTTCTCTTTTTTTCCTCCTTCTTTTTTCTTCTTTACGAAAAATTCATTTTATCGGAGAAGAAATATCACGTTTGTACAATATTCGTATCGTATTTCCTTCGAATAATTACGATTCGCAATAGAGAAAATTTGTATCGTATCTGTCTCGTAGCTAAAAGGACTGGGAGAAAGAAAGGAATTTAGGACACAGAATCTTTTCTATCTTTTCGTATTCTTTGTACATCGGCATTGAGCAGAATCGAAAGGGAAAATGTATGGATGGAAGAACTGGAGTAGAGAGGTTTTCAGGTCAGGTTAAGAAGCACTCGGTATTGGACCGAAATACGTAAACGTGTACAAGAAAGGAGTCGGATTTTATTCTCTCGAATAGCTCTAGTAGATCGATCCTTGTTATTATTAAAACTCGAACGTTTATTATCATTTATTGTCTCTTAATACGAACTCGAACTCTATCGAAGCAATTAAAATAATTATATAAATCTTTATTTCAAAAATTTTAACGTAATTAACATCGGTAGAGAGAGAATTTCTTTCCAATTTTAAGAAATAATTATATATCTATGAAAAATTCGATTTCGAACAACCGTCAATTATATTCGTTTCTCCTCTACAGGTTTCTGTGGAGGAACACCTGTTCCTTCCAAACATCTTGAAATTCGCCTACTCCAGATGCTCCCGCAAATTGCGGGAATCTACGAAATGAAAATCAAGCTTAAAACGTTTAACGAAAATATTCTTGCGGAATTGAAAACGGAAATGAATCGTGCACGTAAACAAATTTAGCCAAAAAAAAAAAGAGAGAGAAAAAAAATAAAACGACAAATACTTCGAGCAAGTTACGTTACGAAACGTTACGAATAATTGAGACGTAATTCGAACGACCGGGTGGTGTGAGAATTTGCGCGCGTGGTGAAAGCGTTTCCTCGTTGGAGGGAAAGAAAAAGGAAAGGAAAGAGAAAGAAAGAAAAAAAAAGGAAGAAAAGAGAAAAAAAGGACGCGACGTTACACACGTACGGTTTTATTTGGGAAAGGCGGCGTGGATGATGGTACGCGGCGGCGAGTGTGTACGCGGTTGGAAGGCAGGGTCGTAGGAAGTTACCTGGTGGGTTCGAGCACGAGCCTATCGGAGGGATGGGTTTAAAGAGGCCGCGCAGCCGAGCCTCGTAGCTTCGGCTAGCGTGTGCCTCGGAAAGCCGGTTAGTCGGTCTCGATCCTGCGTGTCGTTCGTGCGCCTGTCCCGAACGTTTGTTTGTTTCTTTCTTTCTTTCTTTCTTTCCTCCCATCTAATTTCGTTTCGTTTCGTTTCGCGATCCAAATTCCATCCATCTCGCGTTACATTTTTCGTCCAACTGAAGGAGAATACCGCGCAATACTCTTTCCACCAATTGTGAATTTTTCTCCACGAAATTTTCAGTGCACGCACGTGGATAGGATTTATAACCTTCCGGTTCGAGTCTGTCTGTCAAAGGGTATGTCTTTCAATGCGAATTATAACGCGCACGCATTTTACGTATCTCACTCGTTCAATCCAAAACGTGCGACTCGTCCAATTTCGATAAACGAATTTTTACTTTACTTTGCGCGAAATAAAGTGTGTGTGTGTATGGGTGGATGTGTGCAAGGTTAATGGAAATAAATCGAAGTGGAAAAATCAACGTGTACGAATCGGCGCGAATCGAACGCCAACCGTAACGTGACTCTGGATCGTGTTATCCCTCGCGTTCTCAACAACGCCGTGTATACGTACGCCGTTATACGCGCGTAAAAGACGTCGATAATGCGAATATTGAAAGGATAACGAGCGTAACGAATGGAGAAAGGAAGTAAGGAAGGAAGAAAGGAAATTCGAGGGAATTTCGCTTAATGTCTCGTCTTGTGCGCAATCGTCGAGTCCCTAATTGCGAAACGTACATACACACAGTCGATCGTTTCTAAACGATAATATTATTATACGATACGGATAAAGGTTGTTCGAAGGAAAGAGCGTGTTTTCGATCGATTCGTGTTATATCGACGAAAACATCTTCGAAATTTCTTCGATGCGAATTTATTTTTCCCATGGTGCGCAGATACACACACACACACATGCGCGCGTGCGCGCTGTTAATACGGTAACAACAACGAGCTCGTTTATCTTTACACCCGTATCTTGGGAATTTTGATATTTCGATCGAACAACATAGCAACGCTATGTCAGATAGAATTTCCGTATCGATAACGAAGATAGAAGGAGAGATAGAGCGGGATGGAGAGAGAGAGAGAGAGAGAATAGAATCGATTTACCACGAGAAGTGTAGCCGGGTCGCGCGAATAAATTTAAACTGACCCAAATTATCCGTGCGAAGATTCCCAAAGTGTAATCAAGTCCCGTAAGGAAAAGCGAATGAAATATACCGTTAATTCGAGAGATTTTAATTTTATCCCGTGCTCGCTCGCGAGTGTTTAACGTTAAAATGCAAATGTCAGCTTTCTCGCATAGCTGAATTAGCTTAGAATTTTTTGTTACAGAATTCACTAGACGTTACTCTATGCGACATTATCCGTAACATCGTAAATCGAATCGATCGCTTCGACTCGATCGGAAGGAACGGTTGTCCGATTATCGTTGAAAGTACACACATATATATATATACAAACTCCAATCTCGTCTCGCGTTCGACACGTCACATCATTTCTCTCCGAGAAATAATTTAACAGTGCGTGGTTCGTATCGCGGTGAAACATCTTTATACTACTATATAAAATATAATATCCAAGTTGAAAGAGGCTGTGCGAGAAGAATTTGAAGATTATTATCAGAGATTATTATCAGTGATGGAGAAGACGGAAGCGGAGGCGAGAAGGTGCGTGGCGAGATTGAGACGAAGCGGTCGAAATCGGGAGTCGTACGACGAGGTGATGGAGTTGGAGGCGAGATTGCGGGCGGCGTACGTGGCCAAGGAGTTGGAGGTGCAACTGTTGGAAAGGGAGACGGAGCGTTACGTCGCCGAGACGAGGGAACGACGACGAGCCGCGGAATCGATCCGATCCGAGCAAAGGGCTATTCTGGAGGACGAGGCGCGGAAAAGGTGGAAGGACACGAAGGATCGGGAACGTTACAGGGAAGAGTTGATGGATCAGATGGGTGGGAAGGAGGTGGAGAGGAGGGAGAGGATGGAGGAAGCGAGGCGAGAGAGGGAGGTTTTGAGGGAGGTGGACAGGGCGAGGGAGGAGCGCGAGAGGTCGGAGCGGTTGGGGAGGAGGGGCGAGATGGGGGAGATCGCGAGCCGGCAGCGCTTCGTGTTTTCGGAGATGAAGCGGCTGCGGGGGGAGGAGGAGAGGGAGGCGGAGGCGGGGAGGCGTAGGGAGGAGGACGAGTATTGGAGGGAGGTGGAGGAGAGGAGGAGGGCGGGGGAGGAGGGGCGGGCGAGGGAGGCGCGCGAGAGGGAGGACAGGTGGAGGAGAATCGCGGCGCGTTGATGGATAGGGAGGGGGAGAGGAGGGAGAGGGAGAGGTTGCTGGCCGAGCTGATAACCGAGGACGTGAGGTCGGAGTTGGCGACGAAGGTGGAGGAGGAGGAGGTGGAGAGGGTGAGGAGGAGGGAGGAGTTGGCGGCCGATTTGAAGGAGCAAATGGTTTTCACGGAGCGGTGCAAATTACGATTCGTGGAGCGGGAAAGGGAATTGGCGGAAGGATTGATGAGGAGGATGAAGGAGGACGAGAGGATCGGGAGGTTGAGCGCGGAGGCCAGGCGAAGGGCGGAACTGCGTCATCGAGAAGAGTTGGATCGATTGATCGAGATTCGGCGGCAAATTCGAGAGGAGGAAATTGGGAGGAGGGAGCGAGCCGTGGAGGAGGAGAAGGAGCGTGAAAAGATGAGATCGGATCGCGATAAGGAAGAGAGGAGACGATTGTTGGAGGAACACGCGTCCAACGTCGCTAATTTTATCGATAAAATCCCCCTTTCCGAGGAGGAACGAGAGACGGTCGAACGAATGCGAAGGAACGCATCACCCGCATGTCAATAAATACGCATGTAATAAACGCGAATATTTTCGCAAACTTTTTGCAAAACTTTTTATTCCCGTACTAATTCTCGTATTACGCGTGCCTATGCGAAAAGAGCGTCGCGATCATCCTTGGAATTTTCCCTCGATTCGCTCGAAAAAAAATAAATAAACAACGAATCTTTTACGAACGTCCGTACGACGTTCCTCGCTATCTACTATCTCTATCCTTCTTCGAAAGGTTCGATTCCGATTCGATCGATAACGAAACGCAACGACTCGAGTAACGACAGAAGCCAAGACGCGTTCTCTCGATTAATTCCCTCCGATAAATCCGAGACACGAGTGTAACTCGTCAAACTCCACGTCCAGAGAGGAAGCCGGTTTAATACACGGTTTTATCTAATTCTATCGAACGTGGTATTTTCTTCTTATTTTCTTCCAAACTCGATTCTCCATCGATCGAATCTTATTAATCTTGTTAATCTTGTTAATCGCCCACGTGCGATTTTCGACTCTTGCTCGAATTCCAATTTTCACGATACCAAAAATTGAAAGAAAAGGATCGCGCTCGATCGAATGGTCGCAACTCGTCCCTCGTATCATCCGCTCGATCGATTCACCACAAATTATAATACGTAGCGCTCATCCATCGTAACGCGTCTCGGCGTTATCTCGTTTCATCTAGCTGTGAAATACCGAGAACTGCTACCGTGTAACCTACGCACAGTTATTCGTTACACACGGCACGAAACACCGGTGTTTCGATACCGTAAGTCGCTTACTCCCGTGTTTTTTCGACTTTTTTCTCTCGTCTATTTATATTAACCATTTTAAACGCGTCATCTCGCGTTCGAGAATCGTCCCATTATTCTTCCCTAAACGTACAACGCGAGGCGAAAACACGCTCGAGATCACAAAAGACGAAATAGGGTAAGAATAACGATGCACACCTGACAACCATCTGTGCTCGTCATCCTTTGGGGAGGGGAGACGTTACACCGTACCGTATCAACCCATGCGTATCGTTCGCAGAGGTTCAAATTCAACCGACACCACTGTTGAAAGCGCCCTCTTCGATTTCAAACTCATATATATACGTACGTACGTACGTACGTGTGTATACATCGTTCGGAATGAAAATGAAATGAATGAAAATAGCGAGTTGCGCATCGCGCGTAGGCGAGTAGCGTATCGAGATAGATTGATCTGAAAAATTATATATATATATATATATATACGTATTAATTGCATCATGGTTGGATTTCTTCCATCTTATCGATCTATTCCTCCGCCTAGACGTACGTACACTTACGCTCCCCGCTATCTCAGTAGGCGAAGGAATGAACTTTCTCGCGCATAATATATACGGAGATCGAGCAACCATTACGGAACGTTACTTAACACATTTACGAATATTACTCGCGTCGCGTTTCTTCGATCGATCGCGACGCGTGGGTTCGTCGAAACCGGCCTGGCGCCTCTCCATTCATATCCACTCGTGTAACTTGCGATTTCTTCTTTTTCCTTTTTTTCTTATTCCCCACTAATGAGCGATAATAAAAAAACAAATCCACTTTCGTGATTATTATCCACATTATTAGCTTTCCGTTATTTATATCGCGACGAGTGGATCACTGACACGATGAATAATTGACTCGCGCAATAAAACTAGGAGATATTCGCATCTTTTTTCTTTTTTTTTTTTTTTTTCTCATAACGATCGACCGGTGATACGCGCGCGATTTTTGAAATAAACGTCGACGAGTTATCGAGGTTCCGTGGTGTAGTGGTTATCACGTCTGCTTTACACGCAGAAGATCACCGGTTCGATTCCGGTCGGAACCATATTTAACTTTTACTTATTTTTCCATACGAAACTCGTCTATGTGCAAATATTTTTCGTGCATAGTTGAAAAGTGGGGAGAGAGAGAGAGAGAGAGAGAGAGAGAGAGAGAGAGAGAGAGAAGAAGAAGAAG